CAGACAAACAAAATGATTACACTACTTTGACAAGCTGATTAACTTCACATTTTCTGCAGAGAGAAGAAAGACTGTGTTAAACAGAATACTATCAAACAAAATATTTTCAATGTCATCTTGCACTAACACACGACATGAAATCATTCAGACAAAAAAGATGCAGTTACAATGCCCTCTCATGATCACTCACCTTGTCTCTGCTCTTTCCTCTTGACCTTTCTCTTGTTGATGACCTTGACAGCAAAGCAGCTGAGCAAGATGGCCAGGAGCAGAAAACCAAGGCCTCCAGCCACCCCTGCCAGGATAGGTGTGGAAGCCCCAAACTGCCCTGCCATTTCTACGGGGTCTGTGTATACTGGGATGTCTGAGGAAGATGTTCAATTAAGATATCATTATAAAACACTGGTTGATAATACTTAGAATTTAAAAAGACACAAGGAATTTGAAAAGTCCCACTAACATTTAGATAACTAACTAGGACCTATATAGCTACAGCTGTAAAACATAATGTTACAACAGAAATGGATATGTCAGTGTTCCTGAAAGTCAATTTATAACAGAAATTTGTCGATTCCTCATTGCCCCAGAGGCTGAAACTGCCTTATCAAAATAAATTTGTATTGACTGAAATTGTAGGCACTATTTTCGATTGCGACTTTGGGAGGTCATAACTATAACTAAAAAGAAGAGGAAAGAAAAGAAGAAACGCAAAAATGTCCAAGTAAGGCACCTTCTGTGTAGACTGAAATGACATCACTGGGTTCACTGAAGGTCACCTCTGAGAAGGCGAACACACGGAACTCGTATGTTGTTTGCCGATGAAGACCGCTGACCACAAGTATACTTGTGTTCTCTGCTGCTATGTTCTCCTGAAAAAGTGTACAGACTAAATCAAGGCCCAGTCATATTCATCTTATAATTTAAAATATTGGTTCAGAACAGAAATTATTTGTAATAGTAATTGCTGAGGTTCTTAGAAATTTCTAATTTTTGCATAATGACTCATATACATGCAATGACCAAAGCCCCGACGTACCTGTAAGATTCTCCAGGCATTGCCCTCTCGCCTGTATTCCACGGCATATGACACCACTGTTGCCAGAGACAGCTGGGGTGGTGCCAGCCAACTCAACATGACTCCCTCTTCAGTAACATTGGCTGTCAGGCCCTCGGGTGGGAGGGGCTTGTAGGGGTCTACATAGCCAGGCTCTGAAGGGAAATGAATTGTGTAGATATGTTGAGTGCATTGTTGAAGACAGTAGGCAAACAACATTTAAAAAAAAGACCCCCAAAATGACAAAAAAAGACAAAAAGAGTTGGCAGGCTAATACTGCTTTGCAACCCTCCCAGTACCTGAGACTGAACTATTGGGAATTACACTATCTCGCACACATACATACACATACAAAC